TGTGTGAAATGACAAGTATTCAGTTTCAAAAAATGTCAAATCCAAAGCAGGTGATTGTTGTTGACTATGTAGTCATCCTGCAATTGAGAAAAAAACCTAATTTTTCAAAAGTAAGTGATACGACCATTTTGATCATTTGAGTTTAACATATTTTCTTCTTACATATGCACTGTATGCACAGTATGAACTTCTCAAGTTCCTGCCAGAAATTTTTTTCCTCTGTTTCTCTCAAGACAGTTTAACTCAAAAATTTGACATTTTTCTTTATCTAATTAAAATAAATTTCAACCTCAGCTCTAGGTCCTATGGTGGGGGAACTACTCGAGAGCATTGTGCCTGTCAAAATTTCTTTATCAGATACATTCTCCTTGTAGCATTTAACTCTAATAATAAATAGGCCTTACTTCATCACTGCATTTTCCTCTTTTGTAGTGTTGTATGCAAAGTGTTGATTTTATCTTTGTTTGTTACACCTAAAATAATGTGTTTCATTTTCTATCCTCAAGATGGCTGAGTCATCAGGACAGAAAGTAGAAGTTAGGGAATGGTTTTTAAAGAAAATGGTTTATAGTAAACAGGAAAGAGCAGAGCAGTTAACTGTGGGATGGTTTGCAAAAAGGTATCTTAAAATTTAAAATTTTAGGAATCATATTACAAGAGTAGAAAGAGTTAAGTCACAGAGACCATAAGAGGAGACCAGCAAAGCAGGGCCTGTTGATTGACTCCAAAAACAATAATGCATTTTGTTTGATCAGAAAAGGGATTAAAGAGCACTGGAAAAAAAAAATGCCATGAAGGGAGCTGGTCACAGAAAATATCTTAGTCATATGGATATTCTGAAGGAGTTTCAAAGTTGGAAAAAGTGTGAGAAGAAGAAAATTGAATTATTGGGTGTGACATGGACAAGGAAAATTAATAATGAAATTAATAATAGGGGCCTGAAGTGTTCAGATGTTTTTGCTATATTTCAGTTGGCAAAAAAGTAAATCAAACAACTACAGATTATGAAGTATTTCTACAGGTCCTGCAAGTGAACAGATAAGAACTGAGATATGATGTATTTTAGAGTAAAACACTGAGCAAAAATTAGAAACCATTACTGGCCTACTTTTTAACCTATACCTTCTTCCAATAAAGGCTTGGCCTTTACTCTAAAAAGGTTTACATTTCACAATTTTGTCAAAACTATAAGAGGATCGAATGCAATTTCCTATTGAAAAAAAGGGCTGTTTCAAATGCTAAATGATGAACACTTGATTTTCTCAAAAAATACTTTTATAAAATGAATTAAAAAAAATTTTTTTAACATTTATTCATTTTTGAGAGACAGAGATAGAGCATGAGTAGGGGAGGGGCAGAGAGAGAGACACAGAATCCAAAGCCGGCTCCAGGCTCTGAGCTGTCAGCACAGAGCCTGACGCAGGGCTCAAACTCACGGACTGTGAGATCATGACCCGAGCTGAAGTCGGTGCTTAACCGACTGAGCCACCCAGGCAACCCTAAAATTACTTTTCAAAATTAATTTTGAGGTTATTTATTTCCAAATTCCCTGAAGTACTATCAAGATTTCTGGAATGTAACTGCTTATTTTACTGACTTATGAGTTCATATATTTACAGTAACTAACATTGACAGTGTGCCACATCAAATTTTTATTATCAGGAGAAAATTCAGTGAGTATTGGATTTTACAAATAGTGGAGTCGGGGGTGAGCAAAAAATAATGCAAGTGTTTCCTTATATCTTTAATCATAATTAATATATAAATTTAGGGGCGCCTGGGTGGCGCAGTCGGTTAAGCGTCCGACTTCGGCCAGGTCATGATCTCGCGGTCGGTGAGTTTGAGCCCCGCGTCAGGCTCTGGGCTGATGGCTCAGAGCCTGGAGCCTGTTTCCGATTCTGTGTCTCCCTCTCTCTCTGCCCCTCCCCCGTTCATGCTCTGTCTCTCTCTGTCGCAAAAATAAATAAACGTTGAAAAAAAAAAATAAATTTAATATTTGTCTCCCTCAAATATATTTTAATAAAAAAGATCAAAATGAATTGCAATGTAGAAATGGTCCTTCATGAATAATCTTGAAAATATGCTACCAAAGCTTAATAATCTCATTAGCTCATTTTTTTCCCCTTCATTTCCCTCTCTGCTGAGTTTCTATACCATTTGTATAAATTGTCTAGAAGCATGAATATATGGCCATGCTATTTTTATATGCTCAATGGCTCCTTTCCTGTTTAGTAAAGAGAAAAATACCCTAGAAAGAGCATAAACCATGTACCTTACTAAAAAAAAAAAAAAACAACTATTTACGATTGTGACTAGGTGAGAGCATATGCCATATATTTTAAATGTTAAGGATGATGAAACTGTCACATAGGAGCATGCTTTGAAGAACTCCTACAATGTTGCAGTTGTTTAAAAGTCCTATTCATTCTTTGTTACTGTTTTTGTAACACAATATCTGATACAACACCAAATGAAGTTTAGTCATTCCAAAGCTACAGCCTAAATTAGTTGAGTTTTAAACATTACTGCATCTGAGAAAAGGGGGAAAATATTTTTAATGTGTTTTATAAAGCTTATTTGAGGAAAAGGGTAGGGAGAAAAAAATAAGGTAACAATGTAATTACAACTTGAGGAAATGTTCATTTTATGCAACTATTCTTCCAAATCTTATTTTATGATAATATCTTAAATCAAATTTATATGAATATTATAGAAATTTCAGCAGTAAGCAGTTTGGGACTTGAAATATACAGATAATGACACTGGTTTTTTCTTCCAGTCTAATGTGTTCAAAAATACACAAATTATATCTTGGCTACTTGCTTGATCTTTTCAAATAGCTCTAAAATGCATCACCAACAGGTATGAAAACAAGTTATTCAACTTACATATGACAATCATTTAAAATCACAGCTAACAATGTTAGCCCAACTTCAAAGATGCTCATTTTAGACTGGAGAGATTTTTAAAGGGCTGGAGAGATCTTTAAAGGAGTAGTGTTCTGGAAAACTAATAACGCGTGTCAGAATATGTATATCACATGTTCTACTTGTTTCAGTGGGCCTAAACTGTAGATAAAGAAGAACTGCAAGATTATACTGGGAGAGTGGAGGCAAAGAAGATGGAGTATGCATCACTCACTACAAGCATCATGGGAATTTGTGAGAGGTAGTCTCTGAAGGTAATCAGACTCCCATGGAGCCAAGATAGCTTTTTGTTGAGTATTTCAGTATAGATTCCAACTAAAGTAACCTTTTAGGCAAATTGAAAAAAAGGTTTTAATTACGCATTCTTGCTTCTTGCGTGTAGCCTGGCTGTTTATCCCATGACTGAAAAACAGAGAAGGCAGATGTTTGTCTCTGACAATCCAAAGGGGGTGGGGGTTGGTGGAAATCTAGGAAAGCAGAATTTCAATAGCAAATATGAAAAGAAGAAACAGAAAAGATGAGCCACTGCAGGACTTTGTCTTAGTCATGGCACCCATGGCACCTTAGCACAATGCACCGCACACAGGGGGGCAGTCGATAATTAATTCCACTTAATTCAATAGACTCTCAAGTGTACTGTGCTTTGCAGTTATGAAGCACTTTCACATATTAGAAAAGAAAAAAACTAAATGAGGAATAAAGGGGCAAGCAAGGGAATAAAAAGAAAACAAATGTAAAAAGGAAAATCCGTAAGAATAAGCAAGAGGCTGAAAAGGTTCGTAAAAGGGGCAAAAAAATAGACTTTCTCTCTGTCGTTCTTAATCACTTCCAATGACCCTACCTTTCATTCTAAAGTACCCGGAGCTTAGAAAGTCAGTCGGCTAAGCAAGCCCTCAGAAAGGGCTCCCTCATCTTTGCAACGTGCATTTTTACAAATAGTAATCCCTTGGTCCTTGACTAGAGTTTGTGCCTAGGAATAACCACGAGCAAAGCTCTAACATCTCCCAAGTGTGGTCAAGAGTCTTTTATTTCAACCCATCCATCCCCGTCAGAATTCCCCAAAATTTAGGAATCTGGGTGATGAGGGGAGGAAGTGCTCATGGGGAGGGGGCAATCCTCTACAAGCCCCTTAACTCAGACAACAGAGGGAGATAGTGAGGCAGGAATGCCCAGGGACTAAAGAAAAAGCCCACGTTTGCGACTAGGAGGGCGAGTGTCTACAACCGGTTATTAGAAATTGCCAGGGAAAAAAAGGGGTGAGCCCTCAAGATGGAAGAAATGGGGGGCACTTGAATGCGTATCACTTTACACCTGGCGTCGAGGCCCCAATAAAAAAGCCATGAGGTCCAAAGCCTCAACGGGTCAGAAGAAGCGGCGGCAAAGGACGCTAGGGTTTGCGGGGGTGGGCAGGGGTTTGCGCTGGAGGGAGCCAACAGATACCACCGCGGATGCTGTCCCAGGGGAAAGCACGTTTTCCTCTCCCCCAAAGTAGCGCATCCGCCCAGCATCCTCGGCTCAACCTGAGGAAGCTACCGGGATCCAAACCCAGGCAGCCGCGTCCTGACCCCATTATATGGGCTTAAAAGTTGTAGGAAGAGTTGGCGCTGGAAAAGGCACCTGGCAGGGGCAGCCGCTGAGGGGGCGTTAGGTTTCCCGGGAACAAAGGGGCCCGGGAAGGAATGAGCAGAGGAGCTGGTCCCTGGGGGCTCCTCCCTGAGGGGAAGAGACAAGGGTGGCCACGTCCTCCCAGCCTATGGGCGACGTGGGGAGCGGGAAGCGGGCGAGATGCACCGGGATTCCGCGGCCCGCCTTCTAACCTCCTATCGGGTAGCGCCGGCAACCCCGGCCCTCTCCGCGCCCCTCTGTGGCTGGGGAGCCACCACTGAAGACAAAAGGAGATCGAGATCCCGAGCCCCCGCCTGCCCTGGAGGACCCCGCCGTCGCCTCGGCGCACCACAAATCAGCCAGTGGAAGCCCCGATGGCGTGCTCGGCCCTGATCTGCGCCCCATCCCTCTGGCGCTCCGGGACCACCGGCCCCAGAATCGCCTAGCCCTCCGTACAGCGGGCATTACCTTTCATCCAGTCCACTACTTGACTCGGAGACCATTTGCTCACGGGTTCCATGATCAGAGCCATGAGCACGGGGTCGCTACCGCGCGGGGCGCGGAGATCAGACACAAAACGAACTCGGCAGCCCGAGCCGCCCTCAGGTGGGGTCCTTTGCTGGCCGTTGCCTCGCTGGGCGGGTGGCGAGAAGACGGCTTTTGTGTGTTGGGTCTCGCGGCTTCAATGTCTCTTAACAAACGGCCGACAGCGCGGTGGGAACGGCGACGGGGAGAGAAACGCGCCGGGGTCGCGGCTCAGTGCAGACTCTCTGCTTGGTCCCCGCAGAGACGACTGCTGCTATTGCTCCCCGACTCCGCTCGGGTCTCCGTCCTTCCTGGGCTTCAGTTCATGCCTTGCACCGCCGAGGGTCGAGACGGTGAGGAAAGGAGCCGCCGCCGCCGCCGCACGCCCGCAACCAACTTGCTCGCTCGCTTCGAGCGCGGGAGTGAAGCCCCGAGCACCACAAGCTGCCCGGCGGAAATGACGAGGGGCCTCCTGCCACCCAAAATATCTCTCCGCAGCCCTCGGGTGCGGGGCGCGCGCGCCACAAGCTCCCCGCCTGCTCGCTGCCGCGCGGTCCCGCCCCCGGGGCCGACGGCAGGCGCGCGAGGCGTGTGCGCGTGCGCGCTCCAGCACGAGGCCCGAGCCCGGGGTCTGTCAGTCAGGCAGGTGCGGGCGGCTAGCAGCTTCGTGTTCCCGCCCCGCGAGCCGCCCCGGGACAGAGGCGCGCTAGGAGCGCGTGCGCAGCGGTGTCCGCGCGAGTCCCAGCCCTGGGTCAGTCAGTCAGGTGCTGGCGGCTCGGAGGGGATTCTGAGCGGACGTGGCGGCTGCGGGACGGGCCGCCCACCAGTTGAACGCTGAAGGCTGAGGCGGCTGAGGAGGTACCTGTGGCCGCGCTGCCGAGGGGTGGGGGACACCGCCGAAGCGCGGGGGTTACAACGACAGCCCGGGCTTTCCTCGCTCTCGCCCTCCCCACTGCTGAGTGGGCTTCCGAGGTGATTCCCGAGCCTCGCGCACGCCTGCGGAGACCTAGGCGGGGAATGCTGCGGACGGGGACCGGCTCCGCCAGCCAGAAACGCAGCGATGACGAGGCAGGATGGCCAGTGCTGTCGGACCGCCCCTGGTGGTGCCCCGGGTCTGGGAAGTCAGGCGTGGAGCCTGGAACCTGCAACTGCTGGTCGTGGTGATACGGAGACAGGTTCGGCTCCACGTGCCTTTTGAAAGGGCGCTGTGTTGGGTTTTTGGCCAACTCCTTCAAAACCGAGAGTGCTCAGTACCTATTTTAGAGGATGTCCTTTTGTTTTCAGATAATCTTATGTAAGAACCAAAGGGTAACACTGGTATTTAAATGAGTAACAAATTGTAAACATGATTCTTCGAAACTCATGTTCTTCAGAAATGTTTGGAGGCTACTATGAACCCTTAGTAAAAGACAGTTTGTCTAATGAGACCACTGTAAATGACAAATAATCCTGGAAAGTATAGATGCACACTCTCTACCACCATTATAGATGTTTTCTCTTTGTCATTCTTAAATAGCCCCATTGAGTAAAAGAGAAACTCATTTTATTTCTGTAACCATTTCAATAATGTCATTTGTTTTTGCCAGTTCCTGCAGTAACCCATTTTCTCTAGTTCTATTGCATGAGCTGCAGAACTGCCACTTTTCTCAACTGACTTGAGTTGCCATCCCTGCACACACACACACACACACACACACACACACACACAAAGAACTCAAACCACAGTAGTTAAAATATTTTGATGTTTTCAGGCTAATGATATAAACCAAGTAAAACTTAAGATGGCCTGTCTGTACACTTGTTTATTTTTCTAATAATCCAAACTTAAAAGTATATGGGAAGAAATTTAGAAGATTATCTAGACAAGTCTAGGTTCAGAGATATAGCACCTTCCATTCACAATCCAGATAATAGCTGTGATTTACAATTTTTTTTAGCTAATCAGGTGTGCAAGATATTTTGGAGTGCTTATGTTCCAATTGAGTTTCAACATTGCATCAGTATTTTCTAGAAAAGATCATTTTTAGCATCAGTAATTTATGGAGTAGCTTTATGTTCAGAAGTGGAATGGATGCAAATCCATCATGAATCAGAGGTTACAGTCATAGGGAGACGTTAAAAGTAATTTCATCAAAGTAATACTGCTAATAATAACAACATTTTATTGAGCAGTGTGCTAAGTATGTTACAAACATTTTATCCTCAAAACAGCTCTGTTATTAGTCACATTTTACAGATGAGAAAATCTTGGCTATCACATTCACTTCCTATTCCCAGAGCTTATTACACATTGTTCAATACATGTTGAAAAAAAATGAATAAGGCTTAAAGAGGGTAAGTAATTTGTTTGAGGTCATGATACATGATTGTAATACCAAGTTAAGGTGATTCCAGAATATGAACGTTAAAAATTTTTTTTAAATGTTTATTTATTTTTGAGAGCGAGAGAGAGAAAACAAACAGGTGAGGGGCAGAGAGAGAGGGAGACAGGAATCCGAAGCAGGCTCTGTGCTGACAGCAGACTGTGAGATCATGACCTGAGCTGAAGTCAGACACTTAACTGAGTCACCCAGGCGCCCCAGAATATGAGCTTTTAAAACTAGTAAGAACGTTTATGTATCATAAGATGAAACAGTACTTTGGAAGGAGAAGGTCCATTGAATGTTAACTGAATATGTCTCATCAGAAAGTTAACTACAAAGGAGTCTGTCAGTCACCATAAGTGTTCCTGACCAGTAACTGTGAGAATGTAGGAAGTGACCAAATTTGACTGAAACTCCAAACTGCATATTCTGATTGGGTATGCTTAACAAGCAACCAGCCTATATATTGCAAAGAAGTTTAGAGTGAGATATTGTTTGCATAATGAATGAAATATCAATCGAAACAAATGCCAAAGACCAGGATGCAGTAAAATTTAAAAATATGCATTTCATGAAAAGATTGGTGCTGAAGAAGATTCCAGGGAGAGAGGATTTTAAGGAAGACCCTACATCAGAATTAAGTTGTACATATTCTCCTATTTATGTTACAGGAAGGAATTTATTTAGTCTAATTACCTGAAATAACTAAAATAATTCTAAGAACTAAGAATGAGCGAAAATGTTGGTATGGAGTTACACTATCTTACAGAGTTCACCAAGGCCTTACATGTTCTAAGTTCTCCTCCTCAAGACTTCTACAAAACATTCAAAAAATCAAAAGAATTGCCTTTGATTTTGACAATATAATAGGCATTAATTATTTCATTGAATTAGTTCAGAGCATAACTGGCTTTTCACTCAAATATCCTTAATTTGGAGAAGAAAAAGGATTAAGTCATCCCTGCTTTCACTCTTTTATTCCTAACTCCGAATGACTCAGCTAAATCTTTCCTTCACTTTTCTTTCTACAGCTTTTCAAATAAACTAGGCTTTATATTCTTTTGCCTATTATTTAAAATGTTGATACCTGGCCCCATGTTTGTAAGTATAATACAATGTGATTATGTACAAACTTTGGCAGCCTAACTTTGCCTTCTCTTAATGCACAACACAATCCCAAAGATTAGGGGAAAAGCTATGTTGTCATAAAATACACATCAAAACATAATGGTCCAAATTATATGATATCACATACACTTCAACAATGTAGATATAAAAGCCAAACTGATTCTTTGGAAACAAACTTGGATTCTTTTTGGAAGCAGGCAGAGGGTAAATATACTAAGTTAAATTAATTGGAGGCATAAAACTTGTGAGATGTTTGCAACCATATCAAAACAAATCATTTAAAATAATCTTTTCATCCAGCTGTTCTAGTTTTGCCTTTTTATTCTTCTCCTTCTAGATGTCAATAAAAAATTAAAATCTCTTGACCAAAATATTTTCAGTTAAGATTTTATAGTATATATAATAAGTCTAAGTACTTCAGATGTGAAATTTACAAAGGTTCTCAGACTGGAATCTAAGTGCTTAATGGGTGTGACTCTTAGGGTTTGGGTCAGATAGGGAGGAAGTCTTCCAATGGAAGGATCTTCAAGCCTTTGTCTCTTTGCAGCTGTAGACAGAAGTAAATAATGTGAATGCTTCTTCTGGAACTGCAAGCTGAATATCTCTAACCTCCACACATTCCAACCTAGGTTATCTTATAATGGCCTTAATAATCATTTCCTATTTCTTTTATTAAGAAGCTAGCTCTGCATTAGACCTCAGACTTGTCATGAAGGACATATTTTAATATTTTTAGTTATTTAACATTTAGAGAAAATGTCTTGTAGAGCCTTTCTGGTGATTTTTCCGGTTTGCTTAGATTGTGTTTTTGCTATAGCTGTCTAATTTTTAGACTTCTTTTTTAATGAGTAATATTTTATCATAATTTTTTTCTCTTACATCTTTCATTTTTGAATGATGAGTGAGAAGTCACAACACAGAACAGCTATGAGGGTAGTCCATGTCCTAAAATACAGAAAAGGATAGGAGCCCTTTTTTTCCTCTTAGTTTTGCCCAGACCTTTACTATAATTTCAAAAGCAGGTGTTCTATGCTGGCACAAGTTGTATACCCTGATCAGAAAAATTAGCTAAGCACTTCTGGTAAGACTGGTAGTGATAAAACAAAATACAAGTTATTTTCAAGAACAGTATATGAAACTTGCTTTAGAGAAGGCTTAGCACAATTTTTGGAACAATGTTTTCATTTTCTTGCAGTGCAATTCAGCTATGAATAGCTAATAACTAGTCTTTGATATGACTGAGGAGATAACAATCTCCCCTGCCTCCAATAGTCAGAGATTGAAGTAGGAAGAGACCTTGAAATGTAAATGGGGCTATAAACTTGATGCTCTGGTCCAAATCTCCCTTTAGATTATCAGGGAGAAGCACCCAGAGACTATAATTAAATTAGTAAAATTCTTTCTTTGCTGCTCTGCCACTAGGGTAAACTATTAAATCAAGCCTTGTCCTTTGCAGACCAAGATTCACAGCAGTCATCTCTAGGTAAGGAGAAAATGGCTCGAGTTCAGGTTATCC